AGAAAATTGTTCTTTGTGGCATGATAATGCACCGAGTCACACTTCATTGATTGTCCGTCAATGTTTGGCTCGAAATCGAGTCTCTGTGTTAAACCATCCACCGTATTCATCTGATTTGGCCCTCGACTTCTCATTATTCCCAAAATTGAAATGGAAATTGAAAGGACGCTTTTTTGATGACATTCCGACCATCCAATCAGCTTCTACACAGGCACTAGAGGCAATTCCGCAAACTAAGCTAGAACGTCATGGAGAGATGAGCGGTACGTGGATGGAGCGAGAACCGCGGAGAGAGCGAAAAAGCGAGAGATAGGAAGAAGACAAAAGGTATAAAGAAAGACTAAGTAATTAGAGTTTGATAACAAGTAGTAACCAGTTGGAATTAATTGGAATTATTTAGACATATCAAAATTAGTAAATAAATTATTCGCGAATCTTTATTGTATTAGGAGTGATTAGGTGTGATTTAGTTTTAAGGATTTTTTCTCAAAATCTTATTTAAAAAAACATATCACGTAAACGTTCAATAATTGTTGTACGATCAACATTTAATTCTTTGACAAGTTCTGAAGTGGATTGTGCTGGATTTTCGTCCAATAATGCAAATCTGCATTTTCCAGCTTTTGTCGTTATTGAAATCACCACTTTTGAATCGACGGAACCAATATTCACGTCTTCATTGATATCACCATAAATTTTTATCAGAATTTTATGATCTTCAATCGCTGTTTTCTTCTGATTAAAAAACAAAAACAACGCATGCTCCTTAGGAAGCTCCATTTATTAAATGGTATAAACACAATGTTTACTGTGTCTATTGTTAGTATCATGGAGTAATATTAAAGCATTAAGAAATATAGCTGTGATTGGAATGTTTTCGACACATAATACCATCACTTGCAAAACATTCAAAACTAAACCACATTCCTAATATCTGACATTTGGAGTGATCTGGTTAAAATAATAAAATTAGAAAGTGTGTACGAAAACATATTTATTTCGAATCTAAATCTACAATAGTTACCAATAAAATATAACTAAATTAAGTTAAAAAGTTAAGAGTCTAAAATATAACTACAATAAATTAAGTTAAAATTAATTAACTTTTAACATTACTCAACCCTGATGATATGATCTTCAACGGAATTATGAACAGTCAAAGTCAAAATATTCTTTTTATTTAATCCGCGATAAGTCACTAACAAAAATTCTTATGGTCGATTTCTTCATCTCTAAATGACTTCATCCATGAGATATATTTCAAATATGGATAAACGACATATCTGAGAGATATCTGAGAAATATCTGGAGGATATCTCACGGATAAAGTTATCGAAATAAAGAAATTGGTCATTAGAAATATTTTTAAAAAACAATTTCATAGAAAAAAAAACATTTTAAACGCTTAAGGCTAATTTTACAATGTGCTCTTTGTTTCCTATTTCTTGCTGTTTGTTTTTGTTTGTCTCTTGCTTTTTTGGTCAAGAAGACAAACAGCAAGAAACAGAAAACAAACAGCACATTGTAGAATTAACCTTAAGCTTTCACGTTAGAACGTCGAAAATTTTTTTAGGCACGTAATAGATCCAGTAAGAAAAAAATTTTCCATTATGTCCAGCTCATAGTTTTCTGTGTGTAAAAATTATGAAATTCAAAAATTCATAAGTTTTAATAATAAATAAATCATGAATTTTTGCGCTCACTTAATAATAATCTATATATATAACTCATATCATTATTAATATAATAATTATTCTTTGCATATACAAAGTATTTTTACAAATCATTCTATTGTTCAAGTGCAACTAATTAAATTACAAATAAATCGTATAGGTACATTTTATACATTAAGCATAGTAAATGATTTCTTTCATATTAATATGTTAAATAAGTTTTTAAGAGAATTTTCAGAAAAAATATATTATCTCCAAATGGTCATGCATAATAATTATTCATAATTAAAAAATAATACAATCAAATTTGTTCTATTCTTAGCATTTTTAACTTCCTTATTTGTATAGAATCTTTTTTTGTTCTTTTTTATTATGATACATTTACAACTTAATATGTTAATAGAACTATATGTTAATAGAATGAAAATCTGTACATAATGGAGACGTTGTACATACATCATTGATAATAGAATGAAAATTAATGGCCAATTTCTTCACCTCTAAGTAAGTTGTCGATAACTTTAACCAAGAGATATCTTCTAGATATCTTTCAAGTATCTCATTTATTCATAAGATATTTGGGGGATATCTTGTGTATAAAATTATCTAAAGATGAAGAAATTGGTTAAGATTTGGCTCGTATTTTAAATATATATATATATATGTATATATATATATATATATAGGGTGTCCCATTTTAAATAATGCATTAAGATTTCTCGAAAACTATAGTAGATACAGAAAAATGTTTTACAAAAGTTGTATGGTTCGGAGAGGACCATAAGAAGGTATCATTGATTTGACCTTGGGTGGCGTCGCCAAGGCCAGATCAAGGTCACATCGATTTAAAAACTAATTAGTTAGTATTTACTGATTCTTTAATATGATTGGTTCTTGCCTTTAGTGCTTTGCTGGATCTAAGTGTAGGAACTAATCATATTGAAGAATCACTAAGCACTGATTAGTTTCTCTACTAAACACAGACTGTGCGTATGTATTAGGTGTTGGAATTAATTCGTAGCGTTTTACAAGTGATGGGAAGTACTTTCATTAATGTATTTTTTAATGCTCATGTGAAATAAATAACATTCTTTCATTAAAAAACGCTACGAATTAATTCCAACACCTAATATGTATAGCTAATACTTCACATGTCTTATATTTTAAAGAATCTTTATTTATCTTCGCCTTTAAAACTGTGTTAAATGATTTTCGAGAGTCGAAGACTTTCTTACAAACAAAAATCGCAATTTTTATAAAATATAATCTTTTAATTTATAAACCAATTAATGTTAATCTTTCGTTTTGAAAATAATATGTATATTGTATCGATATATAAAAAAATAATATATTGCGCAATAGTAATATAGTATATAAATATGATGTACTGAAGAATATCTAAATTAAATCTTTATAAGATGGCTTTAATGTATAAACAATTCAAATAAAGAGCATACAGCCACATCACAGGATATTGTTAGCGAATGTCATTTATTAAAAATTTTGACGTTAAAAAAATATGTAAATCTAAACATTTTGATTAAATTTCAACCATTATCAATAGTTAAAACCATATTAAAAGATATTACAAATTTGCGCTGAAAGTTTCTACAAATTCTAATGTTAAAAAATATAAATCTAAACGTTTTGGTCAAATTTCGACCATCATCAATAGTTAAAAAACTATATTAAAAGATATTACAAATTTGCGTTGAAAGTTTCTACAAAACACAGATAGTCTTCAATTTCTTATGTTAATCGAATACAAGATGTTACAAATTAAAATCAAATGAATAAATTAATCTAGTAACAAACTCAATGGCTTTGGGAATTAGCGCTGTAGAAAGTGCGCGATAAATATTAATTACCTTAACATTTAGTTAAGTATCTGACTTTTTTAATTAAAAAAGAGAAATCTGTAATATAAGGATATTTTATCAATTTGACTAATAAAGAATTTGAAAACAGTATCAAAAAAACATTTGATTTTAAAAATAGTAGTAATATTAATTCCCGAAATGAATAAATTAATCTAACTCAATGGAAATTAGCGCTGTAGAAAGTGCGATAAATATTAACAATGTTAACGTTTAGTCAAGTACCTGACTTTTTTAATTAGAACAACTAGTTACAAAATTTTAATAATTGCTCGTAAACATATTTCGGCTAATTTTTTTTATAAAAAAGAGAATCTGTAACATAAGGATATTAATATCAATGTGACTAACGAAGAATTTGAAGACAATGTCAAAAAAATATTCAGTTTTAATTTGTAACATCTTGCATTATTTTATTTCGATTAACATAAGAAATTGGAAACAGTCTATATTTTATAGAAACTTTTAGCGCAAATTTGTAATATTTTTTAATATTTTAACTTTATTGATGATAATCAAAACTTAACTAAAACGTTTAGATCTATATATAGTTTTTAACGTCAGAATTGTAAATAAATGACATTCGCTAACAATACCCTGCGACGTGGCTGTACGCTGTTTGTTTGAATCGAAGAATATCCATCTAGTAACTGCTAAGACAATTATAATGCTTAATGTATATTAATGTTTAATCCTCTGTTTATTTCTTTTTCTTAATTTTTAAATCTTTATTTTTCAAGCTTCTACGTGTTAATCCCCAAAATTCTTTGGGCCTTAAATTACTTTGAACTGCTGTGAACTTCCAACCAACGTGATGACGACAACCTTTACAGATAGCTATTGTCCATGCATATCTAAAATGATATAGTTATTACTGTTATTAGAAATAAAACAAAACTCGCGCATGATTATGCGCATATGTTCCTGATATACTACAATGTCGCATTTTACCCTGGAAACCAGCTATACTCAGTCGAAGGATCCGAATTGTTAAGTACAACTCCTTGAACATGATAAAAAGTTATAGTTTCATGTATAACACCACCAGGATTGACATAAGTACCCTGTGGACCTTCTTTATTCATCGGGAACATATGTGACTGCCTCCCAATAAAGGATTCACAATTAACGCATACGTATATCTTATCCTTCAAATCACAGATGTTTATATTAAAAGCGATATATAAAAAATGCACATAGTCTAATTATTATAGTATGATATTATTTTATATGTACCTCTACAAGATACTTTATTTCTCTTTGTAATCGAGAAATAGCACAGTCATAAGTTAACAACGTGAGTCTTTCATTGTGATCCATTAAGATATTTTGTGCGACCCAAAAGGACAAATCTATAGGATTTTTGGGTACACTACCACCTCCTAAAATGTAAATTGTAATTTAAAAAATTGTGATAAATATTAAAATATAATTTTATTTATACACTTACAACACTTACTAGTTTCAAGAAATTGCAGATGCTGACGTATTCTAAAAGAAAGTCTTATAGGATCGTACTGTCTATAAACCCAAGCTGGCCAAGCAGTCACTGCAGCGTCCAAGTTTTCTATTCTTTCCTGCTTTTTCATATCTTCTTCAGAATCGACAGAAATTCTTAAATGATCTAATGAAGCTAAGCGTTGGTCCAAAAACGGTGGCTCAAGTGTTATCTCTGGTAATACTTTAACATTGGCCGAAATTTTATTGTTATCCTGATTATAAGAAGTATCAAATTGTTATAAACAATTTATAATGAGCAGCGTATTGTAAAATATATAATTAAAATAATATTAAAAAGTTTCTTCGTATTTTTTAATTCAAAATTGTATATACAATATCTTCAAAAATGAACAAAATTTTAATTTAAAAAAAGAAAGCTTGAAATCTCTACTTTCGAAAGATTACTATATTTTTTAAGTTTCTGTGAGTTTGATAATTTTTACATTTAAAAAACTACGACCTGAAAAAGATGAAAAATTTTCTTTTCACTTTGGGGGCCTCTCACATGCTCAAAAAAAATTTACGAAAATGTTCAATTATCTATCGTGAAAGCTTGAAGCTTTCCTTACAAAATCATTTTTTAAAAATGTTCTTATTTTTGTTTCCTGATTTTTTGTTCCTGAGTTATTCGCGAGTTAAGTAAAGAAGCATTCTGATCTTTGATTGCTCATAACTCCAAAAATCATCATACCGCAATTTAAAAAACAGATTCTTACAGCTGAAACTTTGCTCTAGCGATTGATATAATTGTAACGAAAATTTTGCAACAAATGAAAAAAAATTTTTGTAAATAAATTTTTTTAAATACGAAGAAACTTTTCCCTGACCTAATATACAGTCACGGATAAAATTGAGTGACATTTATTTATTTTATATAAAAATATTGTAATTTCATCAATTTTCCCAATTTCTTATTTTTCTACTTTATATTATAGTTTGTATGTCATCAATAAATTTGGCTAGTAGTTTTATAGAATAAAACTATAAACTATAAAATATGTGATTTATTTCAAGTAATGATTATTAACTATAATAGAATGAAAACAATGTGGACAAAATTAAGTAATAAAAGATACATTTTCATATTTTTCATATTTCACACTTTTTATTTTAGCTCTAATATTTTATATTTCCTCCTTTAGCTTTAATAATCGCTTGTAATCACCTAGGAATATTAGTCACTAAAAGTTCAATCTTATCCTTCGTTATATGTATACTGATCGTTGTAAGCTATCGAAAAATATGGCTTTATTTGATCTGTTGATAATCGGTATTTTTTTATCGAGTATGGCCCACAAGCTCTCAATGAGGTTCAAGTCCGGATTTTGCGGAGACCAATCTAAAACTTCTATTCCGAAATCTTCGAGAAATTTTATGGTTTTCTTGGATTTGTGTATGGGAGCATTGTCTTGTTGGAAGACAAAATCGTTAGCAATATCCATTTTTTTCTATTGATTCCTCCAAATTTTCATTAATGAGGTCGATATATCGCTCAGTGTTAATGATTCTATCGAGCAAACTAAATTTCTAACTTTAGACCAAAAGAAGCAATCCCACATCATAATGGAACCTCCTCCGTATTTTACAATTTGCGAGATGAATTTTTGTCCGAATGCTTTATTTGATTTTCTCCAAACTCTTTATCTTTTTTTCTTTACCAAACAATTCAAATTTACTTTCGTCACTCCATACACCTTTTTTCCAGAACGAAATAGGCATATTAATGTATTTTTTGACAAAGTTTAAACATTTTAGCTTATTCAAGTCAGTAATGAATTTTCGCAACGGAATGCGACTGTGCAAATTTGCAACTTTCGATCTAGATACCGTCCTTTCTGATACATTTAAATTAAATCTGTCAATTATTTCACAACGTGTGTTGGTTCTATTCGGCATTTTCTCACAATGCTTTTATCAAGACGTTGTGTAGTACACCATTTACGACTATAACCTTTTAAATTAGTCGTAGTGTTAAGTTTTATATACTTATCCGAATTTTTGCGACAGCACTTTTTGAAATATGATATTTCTTAGTAATGTATCTATAACTGAGTCCTTCTCGACAGTCCCAAATGACTAATTCTCGGATTTGTAGCGAAATTTCTTTCCGCGCCGCGGTTTTCCATTTTTGAAAATACACTGATCAGTGGAACGAGATATTGAAAGAGTACTGAAATTCAAAACATTCCAGATTATATAATGTAAACAAGAAACATTTATGACCCTGATTTCGATCGATAAAGCAGTGTCCACTCAATTTTGTCCATATTGTTTTGTTGTATTCTAGTTTATAGTAATCTTTATTTGAAAGAAATCGTTATTCTATAAAATTGCTAGCCAAATTTATTGATGACAATACAACTATAATATAATAAATAGGAAAATAAGAAATTGATTAGGAAAATTGATTAAAATTACAATACTTTTATATAAAATAAATAAGGGCCCATTCAATTTTATCCACGACTGCATTATCTAAAATTAAAATCATATAATATCGTATACTTGAAAATACCAAAATTATTAAATCTTTGCTTATTCAATGATTATTCTTATGTGTAGTTCAATTATTTTGAAAATACAACTTTTATAAAAAAAAAAGGATTTGCAATATTTACATAATTAAATATATTTGATTAATTGGTCAAATAAATATATTTAATCATTTCTGAAGACGAAAAAGTTTCTGTCATCGAAACATTTCCACTGAACAAGACGCCGTAAAAAAAATCGTATCGAGACAAATTGTCGAGATAAAGCAATATTTAAGCGACACTGGCGTAAACGTAGAATCAGAACATAAACAAAATATAGACAAAGCTGTATTTTGCAAGTTCAGAATAAATGTGCGGAGTATACTTCGTCATGGAATTTTTTGGTGAGCGACTGTATAGTCACCCATTGTAATGCAAGTGGCGTCTTATGGAGAGTGACTATAATCGCCTGTCATAACAAAAAGGATTAATTATGTAAATATTACACAAATTTTAACTCCATTAGAAGAATCGTTCACATGATCAAATGCAGAATTACTCGGAGTTTGCCAATTGCGCCTACATTCACAATAATAGCATTTAAATTTTAATTTTTCTTATGCTGAATGTAATACCATGAAGATGGCTGAAAAGAGCAACCGAAACGTCGGAAGAATATGCACAGATGAAGAATAAAGAAGAACATACATTAATAATAACTATGTATAAGCACTTAATTGCCTGATTTTTATTGTAATATTGTTTTTAATAATGAGAGCTCGATTAATCTATACCATCAAATTTTAATTCCTTTTAAAATAATAATTAAAGGACTCCAAATAATTATAAACAATAAATAACAACAACAGGGGCTGGAAGTGAGTACGAAAAATGGTGCGCAAATCAACAAAATACCAATTTTAATAATAAGAAATCAATGGCCGGTATTCATAGTCAATTCTTATATTCAAGATCATCTTAAGTTCAGTTTAAGTATTCTTCAGATGTTACCAGATGTGACCAATCAGAGGGCCGCATTAGCGTCTTAAGACATTACTTAAGACGGTCTTGAAATAAGAATTGACTATGAATATCGGCCTATATGAACGTTTCGACTCTAGATTCGAGCCGTCTTCAGCAATTTTATAATTAAAGAGTAAAATTATATAGGATAGCCGCATTTACATCATCAAAGAACATAATATAGAAAAGGCCATTTTTTGCCCACTAAAGTGTAAAACAGTAGTAAATCTTATAGATTTCAACCTGAACACGATGATGCTATTAGTTTTCATTGAAACGGGGAACATCGCCATTTTTCGAGTTAAAGTCCTATATTTCATCCTCTCTGTAATACATGATTTTCAATAAGAGTGGATTATTTCATGTGAAACTTAGTATGCGAAGGTTCCTAATATTGTTAAACGGAAATTTAATAAATAAGATGAATTCGAAATAAAGGATCCAAAATGGTGGATGCCATTTGGCCATTTTTTGCTGTCTATGAACGGCCTAAATTTTACATGTTATATAATTATTAATATAAAACGAAAATTTTCTTTCCATGCAAGGTACCACAAACTCACCTTACTTATGACGAGAAAAGATGCTCTAAACAGTAAAATTTTTGGATCGTAAACAATTAAGCCAGTGCTCTGTTACGAGCACGAGACATCACAATATAAAATAAAAGATTCTACAACTGTCTTCTGACCAACTTTATTCAATGATGTAAGCTTACAGACCAGCAAGCAAAGACAGTTTTAAATGTTGTAAATACGGCTTACGAAATTAGATTGATTCAAACGGAGCTAAAAGGATCTTGACTTCGACGAAAAGAGGTAGAGTTCTCTATCAACCTTAACCAATAACGTGAGATTTTTCGAGTAACAAAAATATACGTGAAAGGAAACTAAGGAATGTGTCGATGACTCAAGAATCCGTTCAGACATGGATCATAAAATAATTGTAAGATTGAATAATTGTAAGATTTCAAAAGGGCACTTAAGGGTAGATAAAAAAAAAAGATTAAAAGACAAAAAAGGATAAGTAAAGCTAGTAAGATGAACAACCGAAAATAAGGTTGTCAAGAATATTTAGGAAGGCATGAGTAGAAAAATTTTATGTTAATTACGTGATTCAACAATAATTACGTGGCACGTAACACTTTCTCCCTTAAACTGAACATCCTTCTAGATCTGACAAAATTTATGTTCTTATAATCTAGGAAAACTTAGTTTATGATAATATATAATAGAAGCTTAATCTAATGAAACATTGAGTACAATGTTTTCGGTTTACAATGCATTGAAAAAATATTAGTTGAATAAAATTAGAACTTAAATCTATGATCTTAACTATGCTAATAATACCGTTAATACTAACCTTAGTAGTAAATGTATATGTGTTGAGTAAATGTATACTCCGCATGTACTCAACAATGCTATGCTAAATTGGAAAGTTGGCTATTACGTGAACGAGATCGCCATTTCGTTATTTCTTTCGAGTTGTTGTGTTTGATAATTTTGTGAAAATTCGATAGTTTCCATAGCTATCGTTTAGTGAAAGTAACTACTTGTCGTGGTTCATTTAACGGTCGTGAGTTACGAATATTATTATTATTATTCTAATATATTACTATTCTAGTATTATTATTAAAACACTTATAAAAATATTGAACGCATCCCTCCTTTGATACACAACAAAACTTAAAAATACTAATACATTTACCTATAAAT